AGAAGTTGTCACAGAAAGAGTTTCACAAAGTTTATAAAGTTTCTCCTCACTCAACAATTCTTAAAATGTGCAATTTTTAAAGGGAGTCTGGTGATATTTCAGTTACTTGTTCATCAGTTAATACCAGCAGAAATCAGGCACAAAGAGACACAAATGGACGCAGAAACGTCTCGATACGTCCTCTCATTAGACCTTCCAGTGAGAAGAACAGCGAAGAAGAGGAGGTGCAGTTAATGTGTGTGTGTGTGTGTGTGTGTTAATGTGTGTAGATGTGAATGAGTGCCTCCAACCGGGGCTGTGTGAGAACGGGATCTGTGTGAACACCAGGGGGAGCTATAGCTGTGTGTGTAGGGAGGGGTTCATCCTCGACGCCTCACATGGAATCTGCATCTGTAAGTAACACACACACACACACACACACACACACAGCCGCCGGCTTGGGAATGAAAGCAGGAATAACGCAGACTCCAGGATCAGGACTTCCTGGATCCATCTGAGCTCTTTGTGTCTAAAATCTGTTGACAGAATCCACAATCAGACCTTCATCAGAGACCAACTACGCTATAAACAATGTACCTTAACAACCTTTACATGGTAAACAAGAGAGAAGGAAAAAAACCTCTGAAGCATCATAATCATCAAATTTGCTGAACGAAACTCAAGAGAAGCAGCAGTTAGAGTTTAGTTTAGTTTTGTGCTAAAGGAATTAAAGGCCTGTCCCAAATAGAGGCCTGTCCCAAATAGAGGCCTGTCCCCAATAAAGGCCTGTCCCAAATAGAGGCCTGTCCCCAATAAAGGCCTGTCCTAAATAGAGGCCTGTATTAGGCAGGGGGAGTTCAGTGATTGAAGCAAATAGACGCCCGGCTATTATTAGAAGTTTTACGGTATACCAAAACTGGGGTCAGTAGTTGGGAGTTTAAAGGGACAGTACACAACATCAAAGATACTGTTTATCCAGCTAGAAGAGATACGTGAGGTCTGTGATACTTCGGACTAAAAAGGACAAAGTGCAGTGTGAAGAGCTTGAGGACGTTCTCTGCACTTTGTTTACCATTAACAGTTAGCGCTCCAACGTGAACAGCTTCGATATGTTTGTAGAATGGCGCCTGAAAACAAACCAAACTCCAAACCACCGTGTGTTTAATATTCACGGGAGGCTCGCCTCCTTCGCTGTTTCACAGAAAAAAACTCAGCGGAAAGTTTCATGAAACTTTTAGTTCTTCTGAAAACTCTGAAAGTCAACAGACGTCTTTGTTTGAATCAGAGGGTTCTTTGTTCCAGCCGAGAGTCAGAAGAACTCTTTGTTCTGATAAAAACCGGCAGAATCTGGGTGAAGTTTGATGCTCAGATGGGTTTTGTGAAGCCTGACTGGTGCTCTGCTTATTCTGACCGGCATTCGTTGAGGAAGAGGAGGAGGAGGAGGTGGAGGAGGAGGAGGAGGAGGAGGAGGAGGTGGGTCTGCTGCAGGATGCTGGTCTACCTGGTAACCAATGGCAACGCTTTAATCAAAGCCGATTTGTTAATTCTGACACCGTCTCGTCTCTCTGTTGCTTCCAAACTGGCTGGAAATGCTTGTGGAGGGGTCTGTATACTGTGTGTATATGTGTGTGTATATGTGTGTATGTGTGTGTATACTGTGTGTATATGTGTGTATACTGTGTGTATATGTGTGTGTATATGTGTGTATGTGTGTGTATACTGTGTGTATATGTGTGTATACTGTGTGTATACTGTGTGTGTATGTGTGTGTATATGTGTGTATATGTGTGTATACTGTGTGTATATGTGTGTATACTGTGTGTATGTGTGTGTATACTGTGTGTATATGTGTCTGTATACTGTGTGTGTATGTGTGTGTATACTGTGTGTATACTGTGTGTATACTGTGTGTATACTGTGTGTATATGTGTGTGTATATGTGTCTGTATATGTGTCTGTAACTGTGTGTGTGTGTGTATGTGTGTGTATATGTGTGTGTATACTGTGTGTGTGTGTGTGTGTGTATGTGTGTGTATATGTGTCTGTATACTGTGTGTATATGTCTGTATATATGTGTATACTGTGTGTATATGTGTGTGTATACTGTGTGTATGTGTGTGTATATGTGTGTGTATGTGTGTGTATACTGTGTGTGTGTGTATACTGTGTATGTGTGTATACTGTGTGTGTATACGTGTGTATACTGTGTTGTTTGTGTCTGTATACTGTGTGTATATGTGTGTGTATATGTGTCTGTATACTGTGTGTATGTGTGTGTGTGTGTGTGTGTATATGTGTGTGTATACTGTGTGTGTGTATATGTGTGTATACTGTGTGTGTGTATACTGTGTGTATATGTGTGTGTATACTGTGTGTATACTGTGTGTGTATATGTGTGTATACTGTGTGTGTGTGTGTGTATACTGTGTGTGTATGTGTGTGTGTATGTGTGTGTATATGTGTGTGTATGTGTGTGTATATGTGTGTGTGTATACTGTGTGTATATGTGTGTGTATATGTGTGTATACTGTGTGTGTATACTGTGTGTATGTGTGTGTATACTGTGTGTGTGTGTGTATGTGTGTGTATGTGTGTGTATACTGTGTGTATATGTGTGTGTATACTGTGTGTATATGTGTGTGTATACTGTGTGTATATGTGTGTGTATACTGTGTGTATGTGTCTGTGTATATGTGTATACTGTGTGTGTATACTGTGTGTATATATGTGTGTGTATACTGTGTGTATATATGTGTGTGTATACTGTGTGTATGTGTGTGTATATACGTGTATACTGTGTGTATACGTGTGTGTATTCTGTGTGTATACTGTGTGTGTATTATGTGTTTTGTGTGTATTGTGCTGCAGTTATGTCGTACCGTGATGGAGATGTGTTGTTGTGTCTTTCAGTCCAAACCTGCCTCCTAGAAACTTTACTCTTTTTATCTCTATAAAATATGAAAGAAACCTATAAATATTAATCACCGTGATCCCTGACTGTAAGTTTAATCATACTTTTGTTGTTAGACGTGAATATTGAAGGAGAACTAATAAAATATGTGCTGATACAAATACGTTAATTAAAAATGCTAATAATCTATTCTATATCAGTCTTCTGCTGGTTAGTTAGCAAGCTAATGTTTTGCTACAGAGCAAAACACGTGACTATATATATATATACAGTATATTTCGCTATGGAGCTACTCAACATCAATCCTTAGCTAGATAGTAACATCTCAAAGCTAATCGTTAGCTGTAGAGCTAGCATTTTGCTAACATTAGCTAACTTCAGATGCGACTACATGTGTCGATGTCATATTGGTGCACAACTGAAACCATATTTATATATATTATAGTTTTACCCTCATCAGTCGGGCTCTGATTTTTACAATATGATTTTAATTTCTTGGAGACAGAGTTACTCCGTCCGTCTGTCAGTCCGTCCGTTTGGGCCGCCCTGATTGAACTTGTGGTTCTAACGTCGTCTTTGGCTGTTTGTCTTCTCGATGAGGACGGCTGTCTGTCCGACTGTCTGCCTGACTGTCTGTCTCTCTGTTGGTAAATACCTGCAGGCTTTCATTGAATGTAACTGAAGGGGTTAATTCAGGGTTGTATGAGGCACTTACAGTCAGTGTGTACAGCAATGTACTGCTGTAAAATGACTGCTTTTGTCAGTGGAGTCTGGTGGATTTGAAGAGAGCTTTAGATACAAGAACATATAATCCATATAACGGCTTCAGTTTTCGTAATTAGGGCTACGATAAAGTGATGAAAATATTCTAAATGTAACGTAAACTGATTATTTAATACATTTTGTTGCTACCAGCGTCCACAGAATACACTGATTATGGATAAATATCTCATACACTCCTATTCAAAAAACCCAAACTATCCCTTTATCGCCTCCTGAAAATCCACTGGTCTAATGTCTCATCTGGCTGCAGTGATGTAGACGTGTACCCCAGGGTGTGTTGGTACACTGTGACATCACTATGTGGTCAGAGGCGGAACAGACTGTTAATGTATCTTCAAGGTGCTATGTGTGTTATTGGAGCTGCAATAAATAGGACCAAACGTAAATTACAGACACTGGCATCAACTAATAATTCATATTTGTTAACTATTAATTCATATTTTTCCCACCAGAGCTGTAAATCTGAACCATTTTACACTAAAAAACATAACAGGAAGTGGTTTACTTAGCTTCAGGGTTGGTAACTCTATGGTTCGCTATGATTAAGAAATAAAAAGTTTTTGGAAATTGGAAATATCTGATCAGCTAATCATTTAGTCAGAAAACAAATGAGTAGTTTCACTCAATAAAGTGAATATCTCCTTCTTTTCTTAGTTATATATGACTGAATTTGAAGTATTTTGTTTTTGGACTGTTTGTCGGACAAAAAAAATAATTCATGAAGAAAATCGTCTTCATATTAATCAATAATGAAAATAATCACAGCCCCAAATGTACTGAAGTGTAGTTACGATGTTTTCTTTCCCACCTTTTTATCTCGATAAAACTCAAAAATGCAAAAGCTCTGTTTCTGTGGATCAATTTCTTGATTGGTTGACACCCAATCAAAATGGATCTCCAGGCAACTGGGAAATTTAAGCAGATTTCCTCAATTTAATACACTCAAGAGTTTTGCTGATATAATCATTCTTGCCGAGGTGAAGAACTTGAGGAGAACTTGAGGAGAACTTCTGAGGATCTTCTGTGCTGCCCAGAAGTTCACTGATATTTAATAATGCACAGAAATGTCTCAACCAGCTCTGATCCTTGTTCTTGATGGACCCTGAGGTCTCAAATATCTACATTTCAATAAATACACACAAAGCACCTTTTTGACTTTATGTTCTGAAGAAGCTTCATGGACGAGCTCTCTGTTCCTGTTCTCGCATTATTCCTCCTGCTACCACAGGGAGGTTGTGGGCTGCGATGCCAGAGCTTGCTTCCTTTGTCTCCGTCGGTGCTGTCCTGTTCGTCGATTCGAGCCTGAATGGGCCGGGTTGGGGGGGGGGCAGCATGGTACTGATTCTGCATGCAGGGCTCCGCCTTCAGTCCGCTCTGAGCTCCAGGATGTTTTATGTAACTGGTCCTCCTGTGTGTCCTCCTCAGCCCAGAGCGTGATATCGGAGGAGAAGGGCCAGTGTTTCCGGGTTCTGGGTTCGGGTCAGGGTCCGTCCTCCTGCTCCCTGCCCATCCATCGGCACATCACCAAGCAGATCTGCTGCTGCAGCCGAGTCGGCAAAGCCTGGGGACCCGGCTGCCAGAGATGTCCCTACTTTGGTTCAGGTTGGTTACCAGGGAGTCCAGTGCTAACTGGCTAATTGATGAGCTACCCATTTACATGCCACATAAGATAGCACGCTGTCATTGAGCCTCTGGAGCCACGTTTCTTTTAGAGCCAATCACTAGCAGCAACAGAGGAGTTGTTCTCATCAACTATATGATGGACTGCCGTGAAATATGGTAGAAATAATTAATCAATAAGGATTATTATGGATAATAAATAATGATTAGCTTCAGCCATACGTTGTGTTTAGTGCTTATTAGAAGATGTTAGAAGACTAAGATGGTGATATTTCTAGCAGACTTCAGGTTCTTCACAGCAGATCAGATTCCTGTGACTTTATAAACCAGCAGCAGTACTTTGGATGATGTTCTCAGTTCTCCTGGTTCTGAATTTTCTGCCGTTGTTTAATGGATCGGTTCAGAACATTATCTCCCCTGTGTGTCCTCCTGCAGTGGCCTTTAAGGAGATCTGTCCAGCCGGTCCTGGTTATCACTACTCGGCTTCGGCGCTGCAGTTCAACCAGAAAGCCAACGAGCAGCTGGGGAGCCGAGGAGCTTCGCTGGTAACCGACGGCAACCAGACAAACCAGGGTATTTAGATGAAGCTAGAACAAACTGCAATAATTATTTAATGATTATTACTTCATTTTGTTATGGGTTGGTGGTTCTGTGAGGACGGCGGTGTCAGTGGGTCGACACTGAAATATATCAGCAACTGTTGGATCACATCTTAAATTAGCTCATGTTAGCTGAATGCTACTAAACCTGCTAGCTTATCTACATCAGTCAGTAGCTAGCTAATAGCTGGGATTAGAAAACAAATGCTTCTTTGATAAAAAGACAAATTAGTTCTTGCTGACTGGGCACGTGTCACATTTTGAGAAAGCTGGACCAGATTTCTGAGATTCGTCCATCTATTCGTCCCCCCTGCCAGGTCCTGGTTCTGGGTCCAGTAGTAGTGGAGCTTCTAGTTCTCAGCAGAAACCTTCTACTTCTGGAACGACTGCTGGTGGAGCCAGTACTTCACTGAGTTCTGGATCAGGTGTTGGATCCAGCGCAGCATCGGCTGGTACCAGAGGTACCCAAACCAGACCCAGTTCCCCTCAACCTCAGCCCCGACCCCAACCTCAACCTCAACCCCGACCCCAACCTCAACCTCAACCCCGACCCCAACCTCAACCTCAACCCCGACCCCTGGCTACGCCTCCACCCCGCCTGGCCAACTTTCCCTCCTCCAGACCTGTTCAGACTGGCAGTACAGCCTCCCAGGATAAACCCCAGACTCCAGGCAGACCTGCGACCCAACAAATCCGTCCTGACTCTGCTTCTTTGCAACCAAGACAACAACCTTCGTCCACTGGGAGTCAAGGTAACAAGCTTTTCTTTTGGTCAAATCTGACTGTTTTTGGCTAACTTGAGCACTCACACTGAATTTCCTGCTACCTGCAGTCCACCAAGGACCCGTAGTCAGTCTTGATGGTCTAGAGTCTCACTTTCTAGCTGAGGAGGAATGGAAATAAACTTCCTCTCTCCACAGCAGGCAGTCGGACCCCCTCCGGGTTCCGGCCTGATCAGCCAGTAGCGAGAGGGGACTCCCTCCCCGTTCCGGCCCAGCCACAGAGCCCCGAGCCTGGGTCGAGGCCCAGTGGAGGGCTTCCTCCTCAGCAGAGCAGACCGGCTGTGAGTCCCACGACCCGAGTCCAGAGTGAGTACAACCTCAACCCAATAGATGCGCCGGTTGTTCCCTCTAGACTGAGTGTAAATCTTAAAGCATGGCTTTATGGTGCCCCATCTGCGGTATAATTTAGGTCCATAATCCGCGCACCTTCAAATCCCACCAAGAGCGTCTTCAGAGCGTGTCGCCTCCTATGTGTTGTTTACTTGTGTATTTTGTCTTTAAAAAGGAAACAAAACCGACTCAGTAGTGAGGACCAGGTTTGGTAAAGACACTGAAACCAGAATTCACAAGAAACCAGTAAACTTTGCTGCTGCCCAGAACTTGAAATCACAGCATCTGTGTCTGTTTTCTAGTATTATTTGAACACTGCAGAGACTCTGAGGAGGCCTGCATCTGTGTTCACTTAGTGGAGAAATACCAAACACACCTGTTGTCCACACATGTAAACAGTTTCCACCTGAGTTTACTGCCAGCTGAGATCTGACTGAGCAAACAATCCACCTTCTGTCTTACAGTGAGGAGACTCTGGCCCAGTTTTATGTCTTAAAGGAACAACTGAGTGTTGAAATCCTGCAGAAAGTTTATTAGAAATTAAACTTTATGTTCAATTTCATGTGTGTGTGTTTGTAGCACTGAGAGGAGTGTGTGAGAGCAGACCAGGTGTGTGTGGGCGTGGCCGCTGTGTGGATCAGCCAGGTGGAAAACACACCTGTGTGTGTGATCAGGGATACCAGCACAACTCTCAGCGCACGTACTGCCAAGGTGAGCACGCTCAGTCTGTCCCATTAAAGTTCTGTACTCAAATGTTTCCAACAATGTTCAAACGCAGAGAACTTTATTCAGGTAACGCTGCTTCCAGGTAAACTCGTCAGAGAGCGAGCGAGGAAGTCACGCTACGTTGTCAGTTCTTCAAGTTCTTCTTTTGTTATTTTTTTCACGTGTGAGGCCCCCTAGTGGCAGAAATCAGATATTGTATGTTTAAGTCAAGAAGAAAAGAAAAAGTGAAGAAGTGAGTGTAGGCATGATTTATTTCTGGATATATATTGAATATTTTTCTGACATAATTAATATAAAAATAATATATTACTGGGTTTTTTGTGATATTTTACAATTTTAATTTTAAGATCTTTCTCATGTTTTAGTGGTTGTTTTGTATTTTATTCTAGTTTTTTTTTTTAGTTGTGATATTTTACAATATTTCTTTTAGATATTTAATAATATATTTGGGGTATTTTATAAATACCCAAAAATATTAGCTAAAATATGTCTTGAATTTAATAATATGCATTACTCATAATATAGATGAATAGATATTTTATTATTATATTAATATACATTAATTGTATAATAATAAAAGTTAATAATATAATAATATACATTGATATTTTAATAATATAGATTCATAATAGATATATTCCACCAAACATCTGGAACATTTTTCTGTGTTTTCTTTATTTAACTACAAACTACAAACATATCAGTTATTTTCTGCAGAAGAAAAAGCAGCAACACTTTTCACAACGTGTGTTCGTTATCTGTGTGTGCAGATGTGAACGAGTGTGTGCAGTCTCCAGGTGTGTGTCCGGTGGGAGAGTGTGTGAACACCATGGGCAGCTACAGGTGTGTGTGTCCATCCGGGTACAGGAGCAGCAGCCAGCAGACCAGTTGTCAAGGTGACGTCTACTTCCTCTTTGTGTCTTTTCCTGCGTTTGCGTTGTTTGACTGATGTTTGTCAGCTCACTCTGTCGCTTCCTTAGACATCGACGAGTGCCAGCAGAACCCCTGCAGCAACGCTCGCTGTGACAACACGCCGGGCAGCTACAGGTGTGTCTGTCGCCTTGGTTACAGGCTCAGCGGCAACACCTGCACAGGTAAAGACACACAGTAGCACCGCAGTGGACTAATCTCCATTAATTATTTATCTTTTAATTGGTTACTTGGTTTGTAAACATTTTGAAAATATTGAGAAATGCAATCAAAATTGTTGTTATTGATTGAATTTTTAGCAATTGCAAAACACACTTTAAACTGGACAGAAACAAAATAAAACTCACCAAAACCGTCTTTGTTAGTGTTTCCAACTATCACCAACTCTGGTCTGGTGGAAATAAATCCTTAATTTAGAAGGTTTTATGTGTTATTGTCAGTGTCTGACAGCATTCTGGAAAGGATCCCTACAGAGATAGACCTTTAGTTTAACCACAAACAGCCGTAATATCACTATCACTCTCCACCAGACTAGTATGTTTATCTATTACCTGTTGTATAAATGCTTTAACTAAAGTAAAATTTGTGTTTTTGTTTCACCGCTGGATCAGTCTGAGACAAATATTATGTAAAATTAGATTTTTTAAAGTCTTACAGTCTGAACTTATGTAAACACTGTGTGTGTTTCAGATGTGGATGAATGTGAGGACCCTCTGCAGTGTCCCGGTCAGGAGTGCATCAACAGTCAGGGCTCATACCGCTGTGTCTCCTGTCAGCCTGGATACAGACTGCTCAACAGGCTCTGCACAGGTAAACACACCTGGTTGTCCACTGCGTTTATGTTGTAACAGTCACCCAGAGACAAAGAGACAAGATGACTTCTCCATTTCAGTTTGAATTAAAGTGAAGTTACAGGAAAATGTCTGACCACATCTTTAGGTTTAACGTAAAGCCACAGGTTTAATTGATTATCAAAATAATTAATTTAAGAGTCAACAGCTAATCGTTTAATCGACTATTGGTGCAGCTCTAGTTGGAATTGAATCATCGCAATGCTGTTGATATGGTTATATGGCGATGTATAACATATTCTAACTCCTCAAATAACGTTTTGCCCTGTTTTAATCATCAAAATCGTATTTACTTTGTTATTACCTGCTCCAATCAACAACTTTAGAAGAAACACAGCTAATTTACAGACCTCTTTTTTAAGTTATTTATACTTAAATTAATCTCAACAAAATCCTCTTAAGCCTGTATAGTTGTGATTCTTGGCTGAAAATAGAAAAAGAATACGACTTTTCAAAATGTCAGATTTCTATTAAATGATGCATTTCATC